CTAGGAAAATCTGAACCTGGCCCTGAACTCTGCTTCAGCCATTGGGTGCCATGTTGTTAACATTGGAGCTGAAGACTTGAAAGAAGGGAAACCTTACCTGGTTTTGGGTCTTTTATGGCAAGTCATCAAGATTGGACTCTTTGCTGATATAGAAATTAGAAGGAAATATGTATGGCATTTGTTTTTAATACTGTGCTATTATCACTGAACTATCTTTATAGAGTTTTATTTTTTTAATTTTTAGTTCAATTTTTTATTCAATCTCTTGACTGTCTTCTCTACTGCTCTCCTTTCAATTGTTTGTATGTGCAGGGCCAATTTCAAACACATGAGGTCAGGAATGATGGTCAACACCCAGGTGCGTTAGTATTTTGGCACCTTGATCAACACAAAATGAATCCTTTCTAATCTGGGGTTTATGTTGCATTTCAGAAGCTTCGGGTGTTTTATGCTTCTATTAAAACTGGTGCAAATCATCCCCTTTTTCTGTGTGAAATTAGACGGATAGAATCACAGAAAAGTCCTTTGGTCCAGCCATCCAAACATCTTCTTACAGCAGGAGCAGCCTCTAAGTTAGATGAGGTTGCTCAGGGCCTTGTCCAATGCTTTCTAGGTGACCTGTGCCACTACTTAACCACGCCCACTGCATTTTTTTTCTTACATGTAGTTAGTATTTTCCTTCCTGTTTCTCGTGACTGTGTCTTCTCCTTTTGCGGAGAAGAATATGGCTCCATCCCTTCTTGTAACTGTAGAAGAAAAAAAAAATAGTTCCCTTTCTCAGACTCTTATTCGGGATGAACACAGCCAGTTTTCTCAGCCTCTTATACATCATGTGCTTCATATGTTGATGTCCCTCTGCTCAACCCACTGCCGTTTGTTGATGTCTTTCTTGTATTGAAGACCCCAAATTGGACACAGTTCTGCACATGTGGTCTCACTAGAGCCAGAATTCTCTATGAACAAGCTTTGCCATGAGACTGTGTGCGTGTGTATTTGAAGTCTCCATTGCATCTCATCTTGTTGCTTGGTCCCCTTTTCCTCTGGATAGTCTGCCTGGTCAGCAGTGACATCTCTGCCTCAGTTACCATGCAGATGTTACCAGGCTGCTTTATTGCATCCTGCCTTGCACATTTCTATCCTACTGGCAGACACTCTGGTTTCCGGAGTGAGTTCCCAGTTCCCACTCCTTCATGGAAATTTCTTCCTTACTTCTCACCTCAGATTTAATTTGTCAGAGTAGACAAGCCAAAGTCATTTTGATTTCTTTTCAGGTCCCATCTTGCCCTTGTAATCTTAACAGCCCTCCTTTGAAGCTTTTCCAAGTGAATTTCCTCTTTGTTGAATGTTGAACACTGTGTTCCCAAAGAGCAACTGATACCAAGCCAGTAATACATCCCAACCTCCATGGGAAATGCCTGGATTGCTCTAATACCATGTTTGTTTTTCCCCTAGTCATAGCACATGGTGGTTCAGATTCACGTTGAAGTCATCTAATAGACATTTTTTTTTCCATCCTGTTTCTCGTAATGAGCTTTTAGCTAATAGCATATATTCATATTAATTCACCAGTGAGTGACTTTGAAATTTGCACTATTCAGTTTCACTCCATTTTTATTACTGTCATCCAGTTCTCCCTGCCTGATTTCCTGATTGGCCTCTGTATTGATTGTGCCACCTAGTGAATATCATCAGCAAATTTCATTTGTATATCATAGTATTTGTGCCAAGGTAATAAATAGAATAAAAAAAAAGGTTCATCTGTAAATCAAACCATGATCGACGTCCCAAAATCTCTCTTCCAGCCTACATCTCTCAATAACAACATTGTTCTCTTCATAAAATCTGCGTCAACTTTAAAATGCTTCTATTGTATCACTCTGCTTCAGTTTGACCCTATAGCATTGTAACAAAATATTTGCAAAAGTTCAGGTGAATTAGATCCCTACTCTTTCCATTATGTACAAAATCATATTTCTTTGAAAGAATGGCAAAAGATATCAGCAGAATACCAGGGTAGTGTGGCATAATCTCCCTTTGTGAACCAGGGGTACATTTTTTTCCGCATTAACAATTAGCTTCCATATCTTTGGTTGTTCTTTTCAAAATGTACTCAGCCATCCAAAGCCTTTTGTTCTAAAGCCTTTCATGTGCTTGAGATCAGATTATGATCTGGTGGTTGCAGTTCTTCCTTCCTGCCTTGTCGTCTCTTTTTGAACATAACTACTGCATTATTTTTTTCTGTAGAAATAGGGTGTCTTCTCCAGTCTGATAGGTGTATTAACCTTACTTGCTAATGAACCTGTGAAGTAATGTTTGAGTTCTTCAGAATTCCAGTATGGATACAGTTTCAGTGTGATGGGCATGGAGATTTGTTTCAACCGAGTTACAAAAAGTCCATGTTCATTTCTTCATTTCCATCTTTGCTTCTGTGTTCAACATAATCATCTTTAGGTTAAAATCTGAGGCAAAAAAATCAGTTAATTTTTAGGGCACACTGACATTATCTTTCATTTCTATTTGATCCTCTATTAGACCCACCACTAACATCCTTGTCCTCTTTTAGTTCATGAGAACCTTTTTATGAACCTTTTGCTCTCTGCCAGGCTAACTCAGCTTGATTTCTGACAATATTTTGCCATTCACTTTTAGAAAGTAGGATAGCAAAATGCGTAAGAGAGAAGACAGTGGTAAAGCCTCAACTATAGATCTCCACAACATCAGTAACACAAGCATCAAATCAGATGATACCTTTATTTTGCCCTGCATTCTCTGGCATGGCCTGTGACCTCCAGTTTGTGCAAGGTCAAGCTCTGTGAGTTAGAACCATAGAATATTTTAGGTTGGCAGGGGCCTTTAGAGCCCATTTAGATAAAGTCCTAATCAGAGTAGGGGCAGCTCAGATCATGCTCTCGTGGCTGTATCCAGGTGAGCTTTGACTGTCTCCATGTTGCAACTTGTGCCTATAAATTCATGTCCTGTCATTTCTTGAGGAAGAATACAATGAAAAAGCAAGTAGTGCACTGCATGGCATTTATTGATTATTATTATTTTTTTGTCCTTGCATAGCTTTGATTGCTCTCCTGAGAGAAGGGGAGAGTCTGGAGGATCTGATGAAGCTGTCCCCAGAAGAACTGCTGCTGAGGTGGGCGAACTATCATCTGGAGAATGCAGGATGCAACAAAGTCAACAACTTCAGCTCAGACATCAAGGTATGAGATCCACAGACCAGCAACAATAAAACAGTAGCTACACACATAAATCCCTGGCCTCCAAATGGGGAATGTGCGCTGAAACAATCCAAGCAACTGAGCCTCTCATCCTGAAAACGGAAGATGGGTACTCGGAAGCATTTTGGTGGACTTTACATTTCTGTTCAGTACTGTTCTTCCTCCTCTAGACCTCCTGAACTTCTTTACCAGCCCAGCATGCCAAATGCTTGGGAAGGGAATGGTTGCTGGCTCTGGAGAGGGCATATGTATCCCACTTCTGTGTTTTCAGTTCCCTGCCCCTGTTGCTAGTTTTTCTCCTGAATGTCCCACCTCTGTGCACTTACCCATTTTCTTCCTACTGTTGTTAGACCCAAGTTTGATTTGGGAAAAGTTGAGCTCTACCCAGACATGTAACCTAGGTGAGGGGCAAGCATATGTGGCTCTTCTAATTCTTCTTCTAATTCTTCTTCTAATTCTTCTGAGGTGTTTGTTCCCACCCCACCTTCACTATAGCCCTGCTTGCCCTTAACTGGAAGCGTTAAAGCAGTGGGATTATCATCAGACTATGCCTAGAAGGGCAGATGCTTGCAGGGCTTGAGCTGTTGTGGGCCATGCGTTTCATGTCACATATGTGGAATTCATGGGTTTGCATATGCAAATTCCAGCACAGCTTTCTCTTTAAGACCTTCATCCTTCTTAGAAATATCTGAACCTCAGTGGTACATGATAAAGAATTCAGATTAAAGCTGCAGTCTGAGGCCCTGGACTTGACAGGGATCCTTCTCCTGAATTCAGTGAGCTTTGTACTGGAGGCTGTTAAAGTGGGTTAGATGTGATCTGGGATACAAAAGGCTCCATATGACGGCAGAGTCCTTTCATGCCTCCTGGCAAAGATGAGTAGGCAACAGCCTGTGCTGGCTGCTTCACAAGGGAAGGCAACGGAGTCTTCCTCACCTTTGGTATTCCTGGGTGAAAGGACAGTAACGCAACCTGTTAAATTTTAACTGCAGTTGAGACACAAGTGGCACTTACAGAAAATAAGGTATACATTTCTCTCCAAGACTTTAGCCTTTTCAGTTGTTCCCTAATTAGGTTTGTCTCCCCACCTTGTTTTTATTATAAATACCCGTCTTCTAGAATGTGTGGAGATACGTAAAGAACAATTTGGCTAGAACTACAATGAATAGATGGTATTTCTCATACAAGAAAGGACAAAATTAAGAAATACAGGGCTGCAGACTGTTACAGTTTTCCAGAGCATTACCGAAGTTAGTTTCCTAGAGACTAACCTGGAGCTTAAGCTTCCTGTTCTTCTTTGAGCTGTTTCAAAAGTGAAATTAGTATTTTTCATACATGGAAGCAACCTAATATTTCATGAAAGTTGAAAGACACAACATGTTAAATACTTGCCTTGCTCATGCCCTTTTCCCTGAAAAATGCTGATACTGATTGTTGGTTTTAACTTTTGTCCTTGAAAACTTCACTTTCTCTTCCATAACTGTTAAAGTGCTTCTTTTAAATCTGCTTTCTCCTTCTGCTTTCTCCTTCTGCGTTTTCTTTCATTAAATACTCGGCAGCCTGACTTCTACAGCATTATAAAGGTATCAGTTTTCTTATCTCTAATTTAATATTTGTAATAAATCAATTCTACTTTCTCTTTGTGGTTGTTGTCATTCTTGTAAATGCAACACAGCATTGTGTCTTGTGCTTTGAGCATCCTGTAGCATAGTATTGGCTTAGGAAAGAAAGATCTGGCAAACACAGCATAAAGTGGAAATTGCTAAGTGCTCCAGTTTTATTAATTTAATTATACTATCAAACGGTTGATTTAATAAAAACAAAGCATGCATGCACATTGTTCAGGGGGAGCACTGGAATGCAAAATCTGGGCTTTAGAAGTAATATTTCTCTCTTTAATTTCTCTGTCTGTCACAGGACTCAAGAGCTTATTACCATTTGCTGAACCAAGTTGCCCCCAAGGGAGATGAAGACGGCATTCCAGCTATTACTATTGACATGTCAGGATTAAGGGTAAGATGAGATAAGCTTAGAGTAAATGTCGATATTTTCTCTCTGTTATTTGCACTGCTGGCCAACACGGAGATGCACTGTGATCCCAGTATAAGCAAAGCCCGTTTACCATTGCCGCTTGGTCTTGTATTTCAGAAATTTCAGAAGAATTAAATGATGCATTTTTCCATTGATTAGATTAGTTAGAGTTGCTGAAACTTCAACAGCCAGTCAACCCTTCAGATAAACCATTGCCGCGTAGCAAGTACAACTAAGCGTGTTTATTGCGAGTTTCATCAACCTCCCCACTGTTATGTGAGATCTAACTTAGAAGTAATCGTGGGGGAATGAAAACATGCGAACACAGCGGCCCGCTGTTTGTTAAAACGGGAGGTTGTTGTGCTGAGTTTAGCGGGGCCGCCTTGGCCCGGCGCGGGCCTGCCCGTGACTTCGTGTGCGCGCGCAGGAGAAGGACGACGTGCAGCGCGCGGAGTGCATGCTGCAGCAGGCCGAGCGCCTGGGCTGCCGCCAGTTCGTCACCGCCACCGACGTCGTGCGCGGCAACCCCAAGCTCAACTTGGCCTTCATCGCCAACCTGTTCAACAAGTACCCGGCCCTGCACAAGCCCGAGAACCAGGACATTGACTGGAGCTCTATCGAAGGTAAGGGAGACACGAGTAAAATCGTGTTTCTGACTGGCTTGCAGCTGTCCCCTGCACTAAGGCCAGGGTTTAACCTCACTCACTTTAGGTATATATTAACTGCCTTAGCACAAGCAATTTTGATTAAGGGGGGGCTGCTCTTTGTTTGCATGTGGCTTCAGGTGTTTCAAGCATCCTCTCTGTGGATTGCACCCATTCAAAGATCAAAACATGTTGTGTCCTAGGACACACTTTTGTGGGATTCCTGAACTAGTCTTCACTTCTGACTGTGCTTGTTAGTGGTAATTATTTTTTTTTGACATTCCATTAATTTAAAGTATAATTTTAAAGTCTGATTTTATGTAATTCTCCCTGCTGGCTCTGGGTTGGGGTCAGGATGGCTGCTGTATGGAGCACTTGCTGAGGTCCAGGTCCCTCCTTCTGACTTGACTGCTTGATCTACAGTCACTGCAGCCTAGAATTGACAATTTCAGGTCTTGTGCAGGTGGCAATTCCTGATGACTGATATTCATTCTCTCTCATAGAGTTACTGCAGGAAAATGCATTTCTTATTTCCCTTGCTCTAAAGTTTCTGAAACATCCCATTGGATGAAAACATTTTATACTAGTAATTTTCAGAGACATGATTCTGTAGTGCTGATGCTGTTAAACAAGGCCAAGTGAAGAAAAACTTTTTTTTTTCTTTTTTTTTGTTAACACACAAAGATTTTTTTGGTGCAGAGCTAACAAAGAAACACCTGAACTGAAAGCATTCCACTTGTTTCTGAGTCTGGCTCTCATTGAGCAAGAGTGGCACAATTTTAGAAGTCTTCATTACAGTCAGCCCATTCTTAGTTTTTATATGTAATATTTCTCGTGAATTGGCTGCCGCAAATAAAAACTATTTGAAGCCAAGTGGCATCTGAAGACTGCTAATCTTGAAAGGGGATGGCTCTATGGTTTGAATCAGTCAAGTATTTATTTATTCATGTACTTAAAAAGTAAGAGTGGCTCTATGGTTTGAATCAGCCAAGTATTTATTCATGTACTTAAAAAGTAAGAAAACGGGTAGTGTCCATGTCAATGGGACTGGTTACAAGTACTCTTGTAACCAGTACTTAAATGCCATCATGAGTGGAAGTGCCCTATTCAGTCTAACATTAATTCAGTGCAGGCTCTGCTTACAAAGAGACACTTGAAGTAAATCTGCATTTTCACTTATTTTTAAGTTTCTCAGAAGCCTTATTATGAAACTGTTCACACTAGGGCAAAGACTAGTCTTGTATTCTTGAAAATATTTCAAGGCCAATCTACCTAAGTACTATAGTATATAGGGCATGAAGAAATATTACGTGCTGCACTGTGCTCTCCTATCACTTGTCAGCCAGTGTCTCATTCTGCTTATGGTTCAGTGCCCTGGAAATTCTGAGTTACAGTTTCATCACAAGACACTTACTTTACTGGAGTGTTGTGTTTTTCAGGCCTACCGATTGATATATCTTGTTGTTTTAGGTGAAACAAGGGAAGAAAGGACATTCAGAAACTGGATGAACTCGCTGGGTGTTAATCCACGTGTAAATCACTTATATAGGTAAGAGGAGGAATTACGCTTCCTTCAGATGAAAATTACAGCTGGCACATTGCTCGCAGAAAACACAGAGGAATTTCTGTTCCTTCTCAGAATAGATGCTTGCATTTTCTTTTATTTTTGGAAACTAAGTTCTGCAAAAGGCTTAGATTCCTTTCTTTGGGTCTTTAGACAATGATACATCTTTTATTCTTTTCAGTGACCTGTCAGATGCCTTGGTTATCTTCCAGCTCTATGAAAAGATCAAAGTGCCAGTGGACTGGAACAGAGTGAACAAGCCACCGTATGCTAAACTGGGTGGCAACATGAAGAAGGTACAAAAAGATGGAATAGCTCCAGTAATATATTGCCTCAAAAAATGTCTATGTCATTTCAAGTAGCAACATGAGTGCTCATGTGTCACTCTCAAGTCCCTGGTAGAGCAGATCAAATTTTTTTTTTGTCTATTGAGTGAATAATTTTTCACCCTGAAAAAGAAAAATACATTTTACTTACAGCTCTGTTGACCAGGGAACAATATTTGTATTGTAATGCTTGACACCTTTCAATATTCATAATTCAAAAAATTATTTGCAGACCACGTTTGCTACTGCTTTATCCACAAATTATCTTCATAATCTTCATTGTGAGTCCTGTGGCATCAAATTAATTGCAGCTGTCTGGATCACCGTCTCCACAATGAATGAAGACAGTGATGTTAAATGTTCTTGACTAGGTGCCTCATTAACTGGTCACAGAATTGCTGCTAAATACACAGCTTTCCCTCTGCTATCTGGGTGAATAATACTGTCCAGTTAGAGTAGGATGAGTGACTCACCTAAAATATTGACTGAGATACTAATATCCTTTGTCTCAGTGCAATGATATGTTGCTAAAGGCACCTATGAGCTGTAGATTGATGTTTTCCAGCTGTTTTATTTTTCAGAACATAATTATTAAATTTCTCTCTCAGTTGGTTTTTACCATAGTATTGTTGAGCCTGTAGCTATCTCAAAAGGCACTTTTTTTTCTATGGTTTTGATCCGTGCTAACTGATCCTGTCATTTACAGCTGGAAAACTGCAACTATGCAGTGGAGCTGGGAAAGAATGAGGCCAAGTTTTCCCTTGTTGGAATTGCTGGGCAAGATCTGAATGAAGGAAACCGTACACTCACACTGGCCTTGATCTGGCAGTTGATGAGAAGGTATGGCAACCGAACACAAGCCTATGAGGTTTTTTTTTATATACTCAGTTTGCATAGTAATAGTTTTCTGATGCTAATATAGAGAAGATACTACAGACTATGGCTTTTACATTTATCTATTTGCATATATATGCAAAGACAGAGTAACCTTTTGCTCACTGTTGGTTAGAGAAGCGATCATGAAGTACATTATCTTGTGGGCAAGGCCGTTACATTCAGCTCATGCAGAAGATTATTATTGTTGCTATCTGTATAGCATGAATAAATGTTCACTGTGTGGAACAGATAAAAATAAGATGAAAGGTCTTCGTATCAGGAAGTGGGGAGAATGTACTGGAAAAACAAAAGGGAGAAAATTAATGCAGAAGTGAGGGGTTCTGTAATCTGCTCCCTGGTGTGGATGAAACTGAGTTGTCCTTCCCACATCAATATAGTTTTCTGTGTGTTTATGTGTGTGCACAAGTGTTTAAGAGCTTCATAATCAGGTGTAAAGAGACCAAGTAATTAGGAGGTGAATACAGTCTGAAAGGAAGGTATAGATTTGTCAGGGAGATAATTAACCTTGGGATGTGGTAATTAGTTGTCCTTGGTATGGGGTGTCTTTCCAAGATTGCTGTCATATAAGCAAAATATTCTAGGCTTCTGTTTATGCATAAACTACCTCTGAGATGAGCATAACAGTTCCCTTCTGTCCCTCAAGTTAGTGATTATTTTTAAACACTGTGAGAATGAGTCATTTACACTAAGATCCAATAACTGGGACCTTTTAGGGATTTTGAGAGTCAAAACCTTTCGACTCTACCAGAAGAATGATTAGAGAGTTGGGAATGAACTAGACCCATTAGATGAAATAGTGTGTTATAATTTAATTTATATATAATATATATGTATGGTGGAGGTCGGCAGGTAGCAGAGGATTGTTGGGTTTGTCCAAGTCAAGCCTCAGGGTGGCTGTGATATTGTGGTAGAATTTGAGCAGCCACAAGTGTTTGGTCTTCCTTATTAAGGTACACACTGAATATCCTTGAAGACATTGGTGGTGGAGAGAAGGTCAATGATGAGATCATTGTCAGCTGGGTAAATGAAACACTGACTGCAGCTGGGAAGAGTTCAACCATCTCCAGTTTCAAGGTACTTTTTTATCAGGAGTTTCTGCTAAGGAATCTCTTATTCTGTATTTTTGTATGTATGCTGTATACAGTGTGTGTGTGTTTATTATTTATATATATACATATATATGTTCATACTCACACATTGTGTAATATAATGAACTACATAGCAGGATTATTTTTCCTTCCCTTTTAAAAGCATGTCCTCATATATAGATTTGTTGAAAGCCACTTATTAGGACAAGATCTCTGTAAAGATCTAAGTGGTATTCAGCTGCCCCCTGCTTTTGAGCCTGGCCTTTGGCTTTCTGGGACACCGTTTTTTTCATTATTGCCATCTAACTATATTTCTCACCTATGTAGGATGGCAAAATCAGCACCAGCATGCCTGTCCTGGATCTCATTGATGCCATTCAACCGGGATCGATCAAATACGACCTCTTGAAAACAGAGGACCTGAATGATGAGGAGAAACTTAATAATGCTAAGTACGTTCACAGCAAGGGGTGATTAACATGGGCTGCACACTCAGGCTTGCCTAAGTCTGTCTTTGAAATCTGTTCCCTTATCGTTCTTATCTGTAACAATCTCAACTGAAAAGTATCTCTGGAGTTAGAAGTTTGTTGGCTGGGAGTTAGGCAGTATAAAAAGCTAGCAGTGGAAATGAAGCATTTAAAATGCTGTGTTTCCTGCTTTATAATTCCCTTGATGGGCTCAAAAACACTTGGCTTCACAAGCCCCTCTTTTTACTCATTAAACTTAAAGTTCTTTCAGAGCCAGAGAACAGTGCCAGCAATGGACGCTGCAGAAAGCAGTGATTAGAGGTCATGGATATATCCTTTTGGTCACATACAGGTGAAATAAGGGGGAAAAGAGGAAGGATAGGACTCAGGCCTGAAAAACTGTTTTGGTGGATGGATGTATTGATTTTTTCCAAGTGCAAACCATTCCCTATCAGAGAACCAATCCTGGGGGCATATCCCTTTCAGTTATACAGAGCACCTCCCCATCTAATCCATTGCTGCATGGCAACCACAAAAGGGCAAAGGATGACGGTAACGCAGCTAGATCTGCCTTCTCTCTTTCATCCTGGTGATCTTTTTATATGCAGAAGGCTTGAGCGCAGAGATTGAGAGGGAGCTAGGCCAGAAGGGCTGGTTGTTAGGATAATCTTTGAAGGTATGGAAGACTAAATGTGTTTCGTACTAGGCTTTGACTTGCAGTCTCCTATACTCCATGTAATCAGAGCTCCAACCATCAGGAAACATATATCATTTACTAGAAATGTAGTTTTTGATGAACATGGTTTGTATGTTGCCGCAGACAATCTTAATTTTGATGAACTGGTAGAAGTGTTCCCAGCCTGCTCTGTCAGTGATGATGAAAACTTCTGAACAGAGGTGATAACTACTTAAGAGTGCTATTGCATTAATTTATTTCTCTGTTTCCCCCCCTGCAATGCAGATATGCCATCTCTATGGCAAGGAAAATTGGAGCAAGAGTCTATGCCCTTCCAGAAGATCTGGTTGAAGTAAAACCCAAAATGGTCATGACTGTGTTTGCTTGCCTTATGGGAAAAGGCATGAAGAAAGTCTAAAGCACAAAAGACTTGTACCAATGGCTGGTATTCACCCTTTTGATTCCCTCAAACTGGATGTTCTTCTCTGTACCAAGGAATTATGCAGGTTACTCATGCTTTTTAGCATGTTAGACAAGGTTCCAGGTCATACAAAAGTTGACATGTGTATCCAGGAAATGTTTTGCTTTGAACAGTAATATGTGCTTGAGTTCTTTGCCCTGTTTTCCACTTTGCTAGATGTAACTATTTCATGTTCCCGAGTTAAGTTTTCAACAAGACTTACACATATCCTTTTATTAATGAACACCAAGGTTACCTGGAAATCTTCATCTCAGAAGGTTACAGGCAGCTTTTAGTTTTATGAAATCTTACATAACTGCTTCTGCCTGAAAGTGTGTTCATGCTTCTGGTAGTATTTCTGCCACACTTTCCTTCAGTTTGCACCTGGGATTACAAAAGAGGTTTCCCCAAGCCAATGCAAGTATTAGTGACTGTATTTTTGGAATGGTAAAATTCTCTTAGGAAACCCTTGTGGAAATAGAAAAGTGTTTGGGACCTGATTTATGTTGCTGGTATATGACCTAAGCAACACCTTTCCCTGCAAGTTAATGCCTCTGCCGTCACTGGCGTCATTCACAGAATACAGTACTCCTCACTGGAAAAAAAAAAAAACACACATTATAACCTGGTCCTCCAAAAACACCTTAGCTCTAGAACCTTTGCAAGAAGTGGATAATTCATTTTTATGTCGTAATACACTTAAGGAGACTGCAAAGCATGTTCAAAATGAACACCATGTTACAGGAACTAAGGGGATATACTCAGCTAGTAGCAATAAAACAGAGATAAGAAGTGAACCAAAGGGACACAGAGTGACCTATTTATATGCTGAATAAAAATTAAACTCAACTTTAGAGACTTGCACTCAAAGGGCCATGGCCCCGATTCAGCAAAGCATTTAAACATGTGCATCACATAATGAAACACATACTTGGATGTTTCACTGAACCGGGGCCGGGATACTGAGTTGAATCAACATAGCTTTACAGGTAATAAGGCTCGGTCAATTTACTTCTGTCAGGAATCTAGCCTCATTTGTGGATAATCCGTGGGACGTATTTGCACTGAATCTCTTCTTTGGCATGAGTCATTTGCTGTTCTGGCTATTATGTGGAATCTACTGTGGTGAAATGCAGAAGGAGGGAATTTTGCCTTAATGCAACCCCCCTTGACACAGTCTCTGTGTCCCTTCTCCCTCCCCTCCAGCCCCCTCAGAACTGCCTTACTGAAGAAAAAATATGCAATGATGTGAAAAGCTTCTCCAAATAAAATGTTCTATAAAGCCAAACACACAGACTCTGCTTTCAGTACTGGCCATGCTAATGGGGAGGTATGTATCATATAGCTGCAATAGGGATGGATTTCAGAACAAACTCACTGGGCTTCCTGAGGACCTGTTATTGAAACCGTAGACTGCAGGAAGTGGGCAGAACATTTCTGGGGTTGTTTCTGTACATGCCACTCTGAGCCACAGCTGAAGATGGCTCACCAGGCTGGGCTGACCCAGTGCAGTTTTCCCCATCTGGCACATTACCTGTCATCCTCTTTTGCTGTATCTCTACCTCCAAACTTGTCTTTGTCACATACTTTATTACAGAAAACATGCTGCCCAGTTTCAGTGATCGGATCCTCCACCAGATGAAGCTACCCTATTTCTCTTATGGACCTATATACTTAGTACAAACTCGGGAGAAAAAAGGAACCTAAGATCAACCCCATGTGGTCACAATATTCCCATAGGTGTCAGAAAATAACATTTGTGAAGGGTGTTACGAGAAGCAGATGTCATCCCAAAATATCAGAGGGATGGCCCCTACATTGCACATCCTCTTTCTGGAAGTAGGACCTGCTGTTACCGTGCAAAAGGTGGCACCAAAAATGAGGTATTAATGTTTCCTTATGTGGTCTGATCTGGGAGTCCAGAAGGTGATAAACAGGAAAGAGGAATCCACAGGCAAAAACTGTCACTGTAGCATCCTCCTTGGAATTGCCCATGTATTTTTTATGTGTGTGTGTGCGCCTGCAGACTGCAGGGCACATTTTAGGCTGAACAGACATTGTGGATCTGAGGTGGACCAAGTAGTGATGGGATCTGGCTATTCTTTTGTGCTCTTTCCACTTTGGTGTGTGCTTGTTTTCAAAAGATCCTGAGTACTGGTAAAGTAATCATCTTAGTCTTGGCTGTTCCTGGGATTCCTCTGAAAATGCAGGATTTGTAAGACTTACTCTCCTCCAGTGAAACCCAGGAACTAGGGATTTGCCGACTCTCTTGGAAAAACACCATGTTCGAGCAGAGATGTGTGTGAAGAGCTCCTCCAGGTACCCCGTCACAGGGAGATGACCTTGACCGAGACCTCAGGGGTAGATGTGGGGGATGAAGTAGGCAACAAGCAGGAGATGGTGGCAGTACAAGGTGGGCTCCCTTGATCCCAATGAAGGTTGGTTCTCGCTATCCCCAGAGGGAAGAGGAGGCTTCAAACACAGCATTTCTCATTCACAGGCTTTTAGCAGCTCTTCTCTCCATGTTGCTTTTGCAGTGTGGGGATTTTTAGAGGAAACTGGGAAATCAGCCTTTCACACATCATGTAGGCAAGATTTAGAACTTTGCGGGTCCTGGCGAGCAAAATCTGGCTTTGGCAGGGGCTACGTGATGTGTGCCATTATTGAAAACGTGTTTTGTGGAAGGAGCTGCTTGCTGCTCATCATTGCTAGTCCAGCCCTGGGGCCTGACCTCTGCCATACGACCCTCACCTTGGCTGGAGCTCCGTCGCCAGGCTGCGTTTTGGGGCAGCATCCCTGAATCCCAGCCTGGAGCTGATCATTCTCTCCCTAGCCTTAGCACCGGAGCAACTGGGAGAGCCAACCACAAGATGGCAGTGAATCTATCTGGAGCTTCAGAGGCTGGCACGGGTGAACATAGCCATACAGCTCTTAAAACACCCTCCCTCCTCCGGGAAATGGGAAAAATGAGATATTTAACCCTGAGCAAGATGCAAACACCTGTCAGTGTGCAAAAGAGAATAAACTCCATCAGCAGGTATAATATAGTAAACATTTTATCAGATCTTCATCTCTATCTTTACAATCTCCTGTGAAATATAAAGCTGTCATGGACTTGAAGATGTGGGAATAGCTGCATACAGGAATATAAACATTTTTTTTTCTATAGGCTTGAGGTTATGCTTTCACAGACTGATAACAGTGACCTGTAATAAAGATCTTAGTGTCTATAGAATCTGTGACAAATGCATCACAAAAAAACACAGGGGTCTGGAAGTTCTTGCTGTCACTTATCTCCAACATTTCCATCACCTTTAGAGGGAGCAGCCTCCTTCAGGATCACTCATGAAACATGGGGACTTTGTAAGCACTTTCATTATTGATTTTCACTGCACAATTAATCATAATTTTCAAAGCTTCAAAAAGGCTTAGGCGGTTGTACAAATAAAAATAAAACATCGTAGGTTAGACTAGCCAGGAGAAAAGCCATGAGCGCAATCAATCCCCATGCTTCAGGGTAAAATCTGACCGCCAGATGGAGTTAGAAGGAAATATCCCCCATGGTGTAGTAGGGCATAATTAGGTGCACGATGAGGGTTTTACACCTTGCTGTAAATCATCTATCCTGGCTACCTTTTGAAAGAGGACTGCAAATGGCACAGCTGACCGCTGCTCCAGCGCAGATAGAGCCTCTCCTCCAGAGATGGAGCGGAGTGGGAATCCCAGCCCTGCACCGCTCCTTCTTCCACTGCGGCTCCCTTCTGCAGTGAGCAGCATCAGAGGCTCAGGTCCCGGTTTCCAGGGCGGCCTAACTGTGCAGCATCCCAGGTCTGGGCCCTGCTTAGCAAACGGCACCTTATCTCTGGCACATCACTGCAAAACTCACCGGAGCAACGTCCAGCTTGGTGGGGCAAACACCATCCGCAGCATCCTGGCACTGCGGATCTTTCAGCCCCACATGGTGGGTCATCACTGCGACCTTCCAGGCTCCCTGCTTCATGCTGCCTCCAGCAGCCTCCTCAGCCATGTGAAAAACAGACTCAGCAAGAATTTGGGAGCCTTTTCCTCCAAGCTGCTCAGTCTCTTTTAATCAAGTACTTTCAGCTACGCAGAGATGACTAGCAGCAGAGAGTAGCACCCCTGAATGCATGAGTCTTATTGCCTGCAGCTGAAAAGTGATATCTCTTGATTGTACATGTATGTATTTGTGTGTGTGTATATGTATGTATGCATGTATATATGCATGTATGTATGTGTATGCATATGTACACATACACATATATATGTACACATATGTACATACACATATATATAGTTCAGTGCCAGGAAACAACTCTGCATTAGGACCAATTTTTTTGTGGGTTGGTATTATTTTTGTCAATTATTTGACAATATTCTCACGTTGTTCTTTTTTTTTTTTTTTTTTTTTTTTTTTTCTTTACATAGAGCTGTACTCCGTGGCAGTTCCAGCCTATCATTGGGGCAATTTTGTCATTCTTGTGACAGTTTGTTTGCTGTTCAGCCAGTGGCACATAGCTGTAAGTTTTAGCTTTCATTAAGTAAAATAACTATTTTTAAAGGATTGCAGTTTATTCACTGTTCATGAACTGATCACTTTGAAAGACAAGCGTCCTACAGAAGACTTTATTTGCTCCCAAAGGCGAAACTACTATGTTTGTAAAGCAGAGTACAGATCTCTAATAAATTGTCTGCAAGCCTAGACTACCCATAGGTCACATGTTTACCAGTAAAGAGAAGTCTGGAAAGTGTGAAAAGGGCCAAAAAATGCCAATCATGCATATAGGCACTGGATCTCTTCAAGTCCAGGCATTCATTTAGTGCATGTGATAAGGATTTACAGGATCACAGCAATTAATCATCTATAAACACACAAAGCATGGAGAGCTCTTTCAGTGCAGATCCCTCCAGCTGCCAGGAGACGCTGGCATAGAGCGACCATACGAAGGCATCACAGCTTTGCCGTGG